TTTTCCAGGCTCCGTGCTCCCACCACCAAAACGTGGCAGACCCACTGCAAGCCATCTTTTTAAAATAACCACCAAAGCCACAAGGAGAAATCCCCACACTCTTAAAAACAGATTGACTGAAAAAAGAAATAAAACTCATGTATGAAAGAAAAGCAAATTAGGAATGTGGCATCTCGCCCTTTCTTTTCTTGTTTTGTGAAAGGGAGTCCCGCAAAGGATACGAAAGCGCCCACCACAAAGGTGGGGTTAAAGACGTGGTTCTGGAACGTGAACAGCGCAAGCCCCATGTAGGAGAAGATGAAGTTTTCCGCCAAGAAATTCAGGAGCTCGAACAACTGAAAGAAGAAAAAAACGCTATTAAAAGTGAGTTAAACCGCATAGATTTAAGAAGAAAACATGTCAGCCCATGCAATAAATACTTTTGTGAAACAGCTTTAGTAAAATCCAGCTGTATACAGACCAATGCACTTAATTCTGACTAAAAGGAAAGAAAAGTCATTACTGAAGTTGAAATTCAGCGAGCTGAGCAGGGCAGAGCAGCTCCTACCTGCTTAGTTCTGTGCTGGGACTCCGTAGACAAGTTGTTATAGGTGTAGTGAGCCTGGGTGATCCCGCAGAACAGCACGGCCACCACTCCTGCAAGCAGAGAGCCCCGTGAGGCCGCGGTCACCGCAGGGGACGGGCTGCCCGGGACGCTGGGGACGTTAGGGCAGCGCTGGCGCGACCGCAAACACCGAAACCGGAGCGAGGCGAGGGCAGCGCAGCGTCGTCGCGCCGCCGCCGCGCCGGAGCTTGCCTGTGAAGCCACACGCCTCAGCCAGCAGGAACGTGCTCCAGGACATCAGGAAGAACAGGCCGGTCTCCAGCAACGGGAACTCCCGCAGCTTGGTGAACTTGGTGACGTTGCAGACTGTCAAGGACAACTTGGGGAGAAACCGTGGGCTAAGAGGGCATTGACTCTAGTTAGACGTCATTGCAACCCCACACTGAAATGCTGTGTCACTAACTTTATTTAATATAGGCAAGAAAACCACGAAACTTTGGACCTGGGGGAAATGCAGTGCTGTAAAATGAGCTGCTTTAATGGATAACTTGGAACTTGGAAAAGCCAAGGAAAAGGATATTAATGCTGTCACAACTCCTGTAGCAGCCCCCATTGCAAAAGACCCACTGAAAATCCCCAGGAAGATCCCAATGGACTTGAACATTGCTGTGACATCAAACGTGTGGCTGTTGTCACCTGCAGGCTGGTATGCAACGATTGACCTGAAAGGAGGGAGAAAAACCACGTGCTGGAACAAAAGGCTCCATAGATCTGCACTGCATTTACTGTGCACAGCTCTGAGGTGAAACATCCCATGGTAACACAGCAAGCAGCACAGTGCCCGTTTCTAACAGCAATGCTATTATCTTTATCAACCAAACTTTAGCATGGCTTTTCTTATGTGATGACAAATTAGCCAGCTGTGATGGCACTGGTCATGTTTCTGACATTTCTCCCTTTTAACTCTGCATTAACCGAGTGTTGTATGAGCTCTTGCACCATTTTACCTGGAAAGATGGTGAGATGCAGAACCCTTATTCCTTTTCTAAGTCCCATTTTGGTACTGACTCATTATGAGCTTTCTCTGATGTAAACTGATGGAAAACATTAACTCCCCAGCTGGCACTCCCTGCCTGTCTCTGTTACGGCTCTTGGACATGGACTTTCAACAGTTTCACCTCCCCAGGTACGTGAGATGGAAAGTTACTGTCCCATGAGTGCAGCCTGCTGCTTTCCCCCGTTTACAGCCCGGTAGCTCTGCAATCTGACAGGTCTATCGTTTCCAACAGAACAGGTCACTGTGTCCAACAAGCCGCTCTGCTTTTAGTGCATTTTAACCGTTCTGCATATTTTTGTTTTTACACCAAAAGCCACAAAGTTCTCCCTGTAATTTGATTTCTTTCCTCAATCCTGTCTTCCACTTTCTATTCGCTGGCATGTTTTGGGTTGTTTTTTCCTTGTTTTTAACCAACGCTGGTTTCATTTCCCCTCCATAACCATTCTGCATTTTAACCTGTTACAACTTCTGCCCGGTCTTGCTTCCCGAGTCGCTAATGAAGTGTCTCTGTGGCTGCCCTCGGTGTGTCTGGCCTTGGCTCCCGCTGCTGTCCTGTAAAACCTCCGCTGCGGCGAGCAGAGCCCCGTAGCCCTGTGGCCACCGCCACGTCCCCCGGCCCCGCGCCCGGGCGCTCGCCGCGGTTCTGGGTTCAATTCCTCTTTATCTGGGCGAAGCCTGAAACTGCCTCCCTGCTCCAAACCCTGCCCCATGCTGCACAAAGGCACCTCCAGCCCGGGACCAGGGCGCAGCCTTGCCCCGGTGTGTTTTACTTCCTCCTTCCTCCTCCTCCTCCTCGGCACTGCGCCCGGGACTTCCCAAACTGCATCCCAGCCCATCCAGCGTTGGGCAAAGCAGGGGCTGATTCAGTCTTCACGAGACAGCCCAGTCCTCCCTCCCCGAGCGGCCCCGGACACTCGTCCCCAAATGCCAGGGATGCTCCTGCGCCAGGAGCGAGTCCTGCCGTGCCCACAGCTCCCGGCTGAGCCTGCACCGGGGAGAAAGCCCTGTTCAATTTTAAAAATCAGACGTATAAGGAAGAGCTGCAGCTCACAATCCTGACGCCAGCACCTCCTCGCCACGCAGGAGATGCATCTGCATCAGACAGGGGTGGCCAAAGCTCAGGCAGCTCCAGACTCTCCTTGAAGGCCTGCTCGGATTGCCACCAGTGTGCCAACCGCTATTCCCATCCCCTTGGCACTTATCCAGCTGCTCGTGGGGACTGCAGGGACGGAAGGTCTACGGCCACGTTTCAAATGGGTTCGTTTGAGGAGATAGGGCCTGGGTGGCTGCTGTTTGGGGGCCAAGTATCTCACTGCGGAGAAAGGAGGTTGGAACTGGCTTGTGAGACAAGGAAGGCTGGAAATCGGAGCAAGAGCTGGCAGGGAAGCGCTGCAGGGCGTCAGTCACGGCGCACAGGGCACTTATCTAGGCTCACACCACTGTGTGGGCAGGGATCCACCAGGAATTTCACCACACCAGCGCTCAGCCCGCGAACACCATCCGTCCCCTCCACCATCCGTCCCCTCCACCATCCGTCCCCTCCTTGCTCCGCATCTCGGACCGCACCGGACGCTGCAGCGTGGACCCAGCAGCGGCACATCCAGGGGAAAAGCCAAAGAGCAACCCAGGCCATTGCAGAAACCTCGACAGAACCGTTCCCCGTAGTAAACACAACCCTGGGAGCTGGGATTCGAGGCTCGCAATATGTTCCTCGCTGCCTACGTGTCAGGAAAGCCCACGCAAACGGCACGCTGGAGCGACAAGCATTCCAGAAATATTTTCTGCATTAGTCTTAGCTATAAGTTAACCTGTCGTGATTGCAGATATTTTGTATTTCCAAACAAACTCCCAGGATGACAACACAATGAAAATGCAGAAAAAATATGCTCTATGTGCTGAAATATTTCAAAACGTCCTTTAGAGAGCCACCGAGTTTCCAGAGTGAATGTTCAGTGCTGCATATTAACTCCAGTGGCAAGAAATGCCATGGCCTTGGTGCAGGAAAGTGATAGAAAAAGAAAACAGCTGCTCGACCAACTATTTCTGCCTGAACCAAAGCAGGTATTTGTGGATAGGAGGCCAAGCAGGCAGGAGCAAACCCATCTGAGAGGGGCTTCAGGGGGATGCTCTGGCTGAAGAGCAGATCTGGTGCTTTTCACATTTCAGAGGACATTAAAATCCCTTCTGACTAGGTCAACAGGCCATGAAACAAAAACAAAACTGCATCATACATGGGGTAATTGTAATGATGAGCCACACTCCCAAACAGCAATTTCAGCAAGGAGATTAACCAGGATGTCACTAGGGCTTTTGGGGAGGGTTAATCAGGGACTGTGGTCTTGCAAATGGTGCTGCTGGTATCAGAGGGGAGCAAGGTGATACCCCCAGTGCCCAACATGTAACATGCACAAGGACTGAAAAAGGAACACACTTACGAGGACAGCACTATGGCAACGGCATCGTTGAGGACGCTTTCACCAAAGAGAAGGGCATAGAGCTCCACATCAACCTGGAGTTCATGGAATATGGCAAGAACAGTCACTGACAAATAGAAAAAATAGAGAGACATGCAAAAAAGGCGCCGTTATTTCTGTGTCACCAAAGACAAAACACCCCTTGCAGGAAGCTGCCTGGCTGCACACCGGGGCCAGTCCACGGCGACGCTCCCTGCATCCCCCTGTCCTCTCCATGCTCTTCCTGCCCTTGCTGTGCTGCATTTGCTTTGGGTCCCAAACCCCTCTCCGCTCGCCAAAGCGCAGGGCTGCGTCGCGCCTGCGGCGTCCTTTGCAGGAGGACACACGAGGGCTCTGCCCGCACGTTCCCGGGTATCCCGGCACCACGGACCGGACACGAGCTCACTGGAGCTGGTCAGAGCATCCGTGCACGGACGGGCTCATGAGGAGGATCCACCTCCCATCCTGGACAGACCCCGTCGTTTCCGACCATCCAGCACCACAACAGAAACCTGGCAGCGGTTCAACACGACGGGAAGCACCGGCACGAACGCGGTAGCAGTTTAGACCTGACCATTCATGGGCCCAAATCCCACCTGGGGGTTTCTCACAAAAGCTTTGACTTGTACAGGAACAAGTCCTCCCCCTTCCATGAACAGCTGACCACGATCGCCTTTTAAAACATCCCCCAAAGCTTCTCTGCTGCCTGGAGGGGTGGCTGGGGCTCCGCAAGCCCCACGATGCTCTTCCCAAGCGCTGCAGCCAAGCTGCAAAGGAAGAAGTTCCAGATCCGTTTGGCACAAGGCAAGAGGAAGGAGAAGCCTTTTTGCAGTGCCATGTTTTTAGGGTGAGGCTGGAGCAACTAAACGGTGGCCACGTGAAAGTAACTCTGAACTAACCAATTCAGCTGAACGATATCAAGGTTTTTTACCTCAGTTTTGCAAAATGCTTGAATAGGCAAAGCTGTCACTGCTGTCCTCAAGATACTTTTTAAGATTGATTTTCAATGAGATCAACACCTTCCAAACACCCCAAATCCCCAAAATCCAAAACAGGCAGCCACTAAAACCTCCCCACGCTCACACACCTTGCTTTGCAGCCGCTGCTTGAGCAGCATGTCAGAAAAACAGCGGATCTGTCCCCAAAACCAGTGAAGTTAGGAAGAGACTGCCTAGCACTTCACTGCAAAGGTAAAGACTTAGAAAAAAGAGGTTTGGGAAAGATACTACACTTAACTGCAACAAATCAAAACGAGACAACTTTGATCTCTAAAAACGTTGCAAACAAACTTAAAATAAACTCTGGAATTCAGACAGAGGGAAATTCCCCAGGTTTCAGTTCTCTCTTCCTCTCTTTACCACAATTCAAAACAGAGCAAAACGTAGGTAAGATAAGGAAAAAAAAAAACCAACCACGTAACATACCTGGGTCGGTCGCTGATACGATAGCACCAAACAGGAGGCAGTCGGTGAAGTAGAAGTCCCCGCCGAGCTGCCCCGTGACTTTCATCAAGGCGACACAGCCGTACATGATGGAGCTGCAGAACCAGAGCACACAAGGACCCAAGCTTGAAGCAGATGCAAACAACATCAGATGGGCTCAGCTCCCCAGATTTTGCCATATTAGCCCCTGCAGTTACTCGGACATGGAAACAGCGAGGAAGGGAGTTGCCTGAGCTGAGCCTGGTGAGACACCTGGGTTACGTCCCAGCAGGAACGTGGTGCTGCTCACCACCATATCCTGCACCTACCATGGAGCACGTTATATGGGTAGTGTGGCATGAAAAGAAAAGCAGCAGAAGGCTAAGCCTGCCTCGAGCTGGTGGGACAGGCAGCAGCAAATGCATCGTGGCATTTTGTACCAACACGATTTAGTGGAATGACCGTGGCCTGGCTTTGAAACGGCCAAAACCTTCAGTTAGGACCCAGTTTGCTTGACTCTGTTGGAGTCTCCAGCAGGAAGCATCCCACACAGGCCAGCACGCTGCCGTTCGGACAGGAATTATCCAAATCCCTCTGCTCAGACACGCTCAGCACTGGAAACGGCCCTGTGCCCACGTATCCACGTGCCCCAAGCATCCGCTCCCAGCAAACGGGACAGAGCTTGCCTTTATGATCCTGGGACCCTACCTTCTACTTCTGTAACTTATGCATTCCTTCTGCTGGCTGCTGTGCTTTTGCGTTTCTTTCTTTTTTTAAAGAAAATCTGTACAGAAGGCCCATCTTCCCTTTTGGTGCTGGGCTGACACCTGCACCAACCCACGCGGTGGGGTCACATCGGGCTCCGGCTACTCACCCGATCACCAGGCAGGAAATGGCAGTTCCGAGGAAAGCGTATGCTAGGATGGATCCCAAGTTCCTGAAGAAATGCCTCTGGAAGGAGAGGGAGAGAGCCCCGACTGGCACCTTGGTGCTTTCCTTGGAGCTGCGCCAACCTCGGTGCAGGCAGCGTTGGGAAACCCCCGGGGCCGGCGCCGCGCGGCTGCGCCTGCACGCAGCGGTGCAGCGTGAACAACACGAGCCCACGGCCTTCGTGTGCCGGGGTGTTCAACAAACTGCTGCTCCGAGTGCCGGGGACTGAATTCCTAACCCGGCACCGTTCCTCCTCCCTCCCCTGCACGCCAAACGGGCTCCTTTCCTCTCCTAAATCCGCAGAGCTGCTGGTTCGGTGGATACTTTGCAGCTCTCCAAAAGCTGCCAAGTCTGAAAAATGCTCCGGAGGCAGAGAAACTGAAAACGTAGGTGCTGTAAAGACACGTACCCTTTTTAAGCTGTAGCCTGCATAAAATATAATTGGAGGAAGCAAAATGTTGAAAAACACCTCGGGATCAAAAGTGACCTGATAAAGAGAAATGAGAGACAAGAAAGAAGAAGAAAAGGTTTAAGCGGGTCGGTAAGTGAAATGGTGTGTTAACATTTGGCAAGACAAAACACACACAGCAATGACATAAAATACCCCGAACGCCCCTTGTGTCCTCGCCAGGTAACACGGTGCCAGGAGAACCCCGTGAGAATGCACAGGGCATCTTTTGGGGACACAGCCCAGAGTTTAAACAGCTTAAATGAAGACCAGCTGAAACTAGAGGTTCATGATGCTGAGCGTTCGACTTAAAAATTACAGCTGATCACAAGTCCATGGGAGTAAACGCTCCCCCAGCACTACCACAAAACATAGACGGGCTGCAGAGGCTCCTCACCTTCCGCAGCATTTCGTTGTCCTGGACGTTGTTGAGCTCCTGGGCGCTGATCTCGCCCTTCAGGGTGTACTCGTAGAACTTGCCGCTGACGTTGACCAGCAGCGTGGCGGGGCTGCTGGGCACCTGGCAGCTCAGCGTCACGTTGTTCACGTCGCTGGGGACGTGGATGCCGTAGCGCAGGACCACGCCGACCAGGACGCCTGCGGGGAGAGGGGCCGGCGTCGGCGGGGGGGATCCGGCACCCCGACCCGCGGCGCCCATAGGGGCCCTGGTGGCATTGAGCCATCCCACACCCCCACGAGCCAAGGAAACCTCCCAGGAGCAGGCACTCCTCCAAAGCCACTAAGGGAACACAGAAGAAAGCCGGGTGCATTCAGGAATGTGAGCATCCTCAGCAAGACGCTGCCCCAGCTCCGTGCCATTTGCTTCCAGAAGCAGCCAGAGAGGAGATGCATTCAAGCACCTCTTGCATCTTGGTTCCCTGTGCTCCCCCTTCCCTAAAACATCAGGAATTTTCCCTTTTTCTCCCTTTTTCCTGCTCATTCATACAACATCCCGGTGTGACAGGACAGCTGCTGTGAAGGAGGATCGTGGGGTTAACCTGCAAGTCAGCGATTTGGAGGGCACTTGTTATTTGCAGCACAGCTGCAAAGCGAGGTCCAGCACCCGGCGTCCCGGGATCGGCCCCACACGGCGCCGCCGGGGCCCGCTGAGCGCTCCCCCTCCAGAGCTCCTTCCTTTGAGGTCACAACTGGCCATGAAGCAACACGGGACAGTGGCATCAAGTGTCCAGTTCGGTGTCACAGCCGTGAAGGGAGGAGCGCTGGACCGGAGGGCTCCGTCACCTCCTCCCATTGCTCCCGTGGCTGGGCAGGACCCAACCCAGCAGCACCAGGGTCCCCACCTGCACCAAGCTCCGTCGCGGTGGCCCTCCGAAATCCATCTTGGACCTTCACGGGGCTCTCTGAGGCCTCCAGCAGCACCGGCCCATCCTCCCTCCACGGGACACCCACCAAGAGCCCCTCAAACGCCAGGGATGCTCTGAAACGGGACGCCCGGCACCAGGGAGGAGGGACGGACGGTGCCTGGGAAGCCAGGGAGGCTCCCGACTTCCCCCTCGGCTCCTAATCCCTTCCCCAGCAGCTGATGGGCTGCAAAGGGCGACCCGACCGCACAGCTGCCCCCGGCCCCGCTCCGAGCCGAGTTCCGGCTCCAGCCAGGAGCAGGACAAGGGGAAGGGGACGGAAAAGGGGCTCCATCAACCTGCCACCTGCAGCCCGGCTGGCACAGCACAGCTTTGGAGGGACCAAGAAGAGCCCTGGGTAACCGGCTCCAGGGGAAAGCGCATGTGCTCCCGTCCCCGAGCATCCCGTCGGGAACAGCGCTCGGAAAACCCCTCCAGCAGCACCGGGGAGCCAAGTGCTCCCGCTGCCAAACCTCGTACAAAAACAGCGCTCCGGGGGGAACTCGACACCAGGCCATGCCGGCACGCTCACCCGGCCCTGGGATGTAAAGCGCCAGAGCTGATTTTCACTGCTTTTACCCCAACTTTGCTTTAGAAAAAGCAAACAGAAGCCCACAGGCTTTTTGAGGAGCCACCGAACGTTTCTAAGGTGGGATTTCAACCCAAGACCAATCCATTGCCGTTCAGTACATCGTCTGGGGATGCACAAGGAAAGCACTTCCTTGTGCAAGTGCTGGGGGAAGGATCCCCAGGCTAACACGAATCTGGGCAGAAAAGACAAGAAAAAGATAGCGAGCGGCTGAGCGGGAACTTCATCTGAAGCACCGAGATGGAGCTCGAGGGCCCTGGGCCCCCCGGTCTCCCACCGGGAAGTCATTTCCAGCGGGCCCAGCTCCGCAACGCTACGAGCACGTAGTGCAATGCCAAAGACACAAACCCACCCAGAACAGCAGCCTGTAACAGAGCAGAAATGCAGGTGCAGGAGGAAACTGTGATGCAAAAATTTTACTTGACTTTTTGCTTTTTTGGAAAGAAAAATTAGAAAACTTAGAAAATCAGAAGACTTTTACAAGCTGCTTTTCCTACCCTCATGCCAGTACCTATTTCAAAGCCTCCTGAGCGCAGCACTTCCATGTTTTCGGCCAACTTCCTCCATGCTGAAAGCAGAAAGGGCAGCAGATCCGCAGGGAACGCGCCTGAGGCCTGCGGCTTTCCAGCCGGAGAGCCAGGGCCTCGCCAAGCCCCGGGAGGCTGCACCCCCTATTCCAAAACTGCAGCCCCCTATTCCAAAGGGGGCTCTTGTGACGTGAGACACAAAACGCCAAAATTTCGGCAGTGGAGACAAAGTGGGGATTTTGCAGTGCAACCGGTCCGGTGACATTACTTGTTTTGCCAACAATTCCCTTTAAGTCTGCAGAAGGGCAGGCAGCAATAGCGCGTTTTGGGTCGCGGGGAGGGCCTAGTGCCCCAGCGCTCACATGGAGCCAGGGAGCAAAGCAGGGAGAAACGGAAGGAAACTCCAGAAAAGCAGCGAGTTACGGGCAAGCCCGAAAGAATAGATGGAGCAGGATGAAGAGCACGGGC